ACAGTACTGTGGGGGGGGGGGGGGGGGGGGCCCCGGGGCCAGACTTTGCACTTACGACCGCTGCAGCATTTCCCGCCCTCCGCACCCCCACCGTCAGGGGAGTCCAAATTCAGATGCTTGGCAACGGACTCACATTTATGACCGTTGCTCTGTGTGTGTGTGTAGGGGTATCATGTGATCTTTTGCAAGTCAATGGGATTCACTTAACGACGTGTGGTGAACAGCTGCAGTGATTCACGTAAACAACTGTGGCAAGCAAGAAAGGTTGCAAAAAAAACGGGGCAGAACTCGCTTAACAACGGTCTCACTTGGCCACGGGAAATTTGGGGCTCCATTGTGGTCATAAGACGAGGAGTCCCCTTTACCCACCAGGAAATTTGGGTCGCCTCGGTTGCTTCAGTTCCCCAGGCTCCAGTTTATCCTGTACAGGGAGTCCTCGACTTTCAATGGTTCGTTTAGTGACCATTCGAAGTTACAAGGACCCTGAAAAAAGTGACTTATGACTTTTTCACATTTACAACCATTCTCATAGTCACGTGGTTTATATTCAAATGCTTGGCAGAGACTCACCTTTATGTCGGTTGCAACGTCCCCTTGAGACTTCCAAGAAGAGACTGGACTGCCACCTGTCAGAAATGGGGTAGGGTCTCCTGCTTGGGTGGGGGTTGGACTAGATGACCTACAAGGTCCCTTCCAACTCTGATTATCTGATTATCCCCGGGGTCACGTGATCCCCTTTGGCAACCTTCTGACAACCAAGTTAATGGGGGGGGGGACCAGATCCACTTAACGACCGTGTTACTAATTTAAGCACTGCAGTGATTCACTTAACCGTGGCAAGAAAAGTCGTAAAACAGGTCAAACGTCACAAATCTCTTGCTGAGCCACAAAAAAAGGTTGGGCTCAGTTGTGGTTGTAAGTCAAGGACCACCTGGGCAGATGGTTTTACGACCGCAGCCAGAGCCAGAATTTATGTTGCTAAGCAAGGCGGTGAAGTGAGTCCACACTAGATTGGACGATCTTTTTTGACCGGGACTGTTTGGTGAAACGCTGCCGTTGTTGAGTGAATCATGCAGTCGTTAAGCAAATCTGGCTTCCCTCACTGACTTTGCTTGTGGGAAGGAGGCCGGGAAGCTTGCAAATGGAGGTCACACCCTGGGAAGCCATGGCCATTGTGTGGATGTGCTGTTTTCAAGCACTGGCAATGTGTGATCACATGGCCCCTTGTCTGATTTTTGGGGCTGTCACATCCCTTGCAGATGTTTCGCTTCTCATCCCAGAAGCTTCTTCACCTCCTTCACTTAAGATTTGTAGTGGTGCCTAGTTGGGTAGCTGTGAAAATGTGTCATGGGGAAATATTCAAGTATTAGAATTAGAATAAGAGGTTTGGAAGGGACCTTGGAGGTCTTCTAGTCCAGCCCCCTGGTCAGGCAGGAGATCTTATACCATTTCAGACAAATGATTGTCTAATCTTTTTTAATTGAAAGTTTTTTTATTTATTTTAACACAGACATTAACGAATACAAACATAAAACATCAAGTAAAACCATCTTTCCATTGTACAATGTGTCGGTTGGTACATATCTTTTGTGCGCAATATCAACAGTCTTTCCCTTCTAAGTGCATTATTAAAATTCCTATTCTATAGATCAACTATGCATGTTATGTTACATCATTGTTAACTCCTTATTAGACTTTAATTATAAATTCACATCATTCTTTTCGAGCAAATCTCAACTTTTACAAAGCCTAATTCATAATATTCATTTCATTGTAATCAGTTATAGCATATTATCTTTGTCTAATCTCTTCTTAAAAACCTCCAGGGAAGGAGCATTCAAAAGTTCTAGTGGCAAGCAGTTCCACTGGTTAATTGTCCTCACTGTCAGGAAATTTCTTAGTTCTAGGATGCTTCTCTCCTTGATATGTTTCCATCAGTTGCTTCTTGTCCTGCCCTCAAGTAATTCACAGAAGTGTAACTTCGAGGCCATGGGGCCACCTGCAACCCCATCGTTGAACCCCAGATAATGTTAATTGTACAGGCAGCCCTCGACTTATGACCACAGTTGAGCCCAAAATTTCTGTTGCTTTTGTTAAGTGAATTTTGCCCTGATTTTATGACCTTTCTTGGCCCAGTTGTTGAGTTGTTATTTCTAGCAGGACAACCAGGTTCTTTATTCCCTATGCCATCCATCTGCTAAACTCGCAAGATTCGTTTCTCTCACCATGTGCATGCATACATCCGAACTAGGACTGTGTGGTTTCTCTGTGTCATAATATATGTGGCTATATGCATAATTATATATTTATGTATGTATTTAGTCATGTTTTATGTAGTGTATATTGGAGGTGGTGACCATTTGAGAACTGTATGCAATGAAATTTCATTTTAAGGTATGCCGATTAGTGTACATTCAAAGTGACAATCAAGTTGTTCTAAGTCTAAGCAAATCGCTTCAATTAGCGACAGGGTTGTTAAGTGAATCCGGCTTCCCCATGAACTTTGATCGTCAGAAGGTCACAAGAGGGACACTGAACGTCATAAATACGAGTCAGTTGCCAGGTGTCTGAATTTTGATCACGTGACCCTGGGGATGCCAAGGTCCCAAGTAATAAATACATCCCATTCAATAAGAACTCCGAGGCAGGCGTGTTCCTCAAAGAACATTTTATTTGGGACATATCAAATTGGCGCATTCCTGGTGGAAAACTGGCTCTAAGTTGCCGCAGGTTTTTCACCCAAAGTAAAACTTTGTCAATTTCCCCCCCTCCCCAGAATCTCCAGTCACACGGTCCAATCAGCATACAGCCCAGTTGCTAGGCGACCTCAGTCTCCACCCTTTGAACACCTGCACCACCGTTCTTGATTCCCAGGGGGAAGAATTTTAGTTTGGCTACAATACCCCAACTATTTCTATACCTTCCTCCCCCTCCCCTTTTTAGCTCCAGGCTGTGTCAGCCCTGAAGCTGTGAGAAGAGAAACCTCCTTAGAGGAAAAGCTACAAAAAGAAAATGGCCACAGTTCAGCCAAGTTAAGGGTTGATAGGGGATGCTGCACCAGTCGTAAGTGTAAAGACTGGTCATAAGTCACCCTTTTCAGTGCTGCTGTAACTTTGAATGGTCACTTAACAAATGGTTGTAATTCGAAGAGTATGTATCCTCTAATGGCATTGAAGCATTGCGGCATTCAGAAAAGGGTGCCTTCATCTTGGTTTGGGAAGAGGGGAGACGCCATGCATCCAGACAAACATAAAGACATACTTTTTCCTTGGGGGCTGATCTAAAGAGGAGAAAAAGGGGGAGACCAGCAATAGGTGGGATTGCAGTGGGGGCATCAGGTCTGGAGATGGTGCCAAGGCCACTTGGCTCTATAGCTCTATGGCTCTATAGAGATTCTCAGTTATGCTGGTCACGGTTGCTTTTTTGCAAGAGGCAACTGGACTTCATCTAGTTTTGCCATTGAAGATGTTTCGCTTCTCATCCAAGAAGCTTCTTCAGCTCTGACTGGATGGGGGGCAATGGAAGGGTTTATGTTCCTTGCAGACAGCTGTTCGTTTGCATCCTTTTAGAGGATTGCTAAGGCCACTTGGAGGTTTATCTGTGTCCTCCGGGTTACAGTCGGGACAAATGGAGATGGATCAAAAAAAGCTACGAAATGTGCTTGCTGGGCCTCCAGTACGATATATGGAGATATACACATCCGGGTTTTGCTCTCAGGTGTGATGATCAAGGGCAGGTACACCTGTGAACATTGAAGGGGTCTGGTGCCTGGGCTCTGGGACCCATTAGGTGGCATCTTTCTGTTGCAACTTGGCAGAGCTCTTGAGGGAAAAGCTTTTTTCTTCTTCCTTCCTGGAGATTCCGCAGTTTTATTTCCTTTATGGATTTATTAGGCCATCCAGCTCCAACCCTGTGACCCTGGGCGGGCGTAGGACGAAGAGACAGCTGAGGCCATAAAACAGGTGGAGGTCTGATACCAGAAGAGAATTTTTGCTGCTCAGGGTTGAACTGGTGGGATCCTTCTGAGCTTGGTGGTTTTTCTTGCAGACATTTCATGACCCAGCTGGGTCACATCATCAGCATAGTTTACTTTATTGTCATTGCACCTCATACGACAAAATTAAATGCCATCTTGAGTGTACATTACACAATTTAAAAAAAAAAAACCCACACATCCTTTACATTCTATACCAGTGTTGATGGTTAACATTTTCAGCGCTGAATGCCCGAAGTTCGCATGCGCTTTCCCAAAATACAATATGCGCACATCCCCACGCATGCGCCCTCCCTCCACACATGCTCCCTGACCCACCTGCGCATGTGCCCTCATTCCCGGCATGCGCCCTGCTCCCCCGTGCATGCGCAGCAGAGACCTGAAGCCCAGCTGGCTAGCAGGAGGTGCATGCATGCGCGGCTGAGCTGGGGCGATGGCTCGCGTCCGCACCGAGAGCACTCTGTGTGC